TAAAAATAAAAAGCAAAATGTTTACATTGTTTCTCAGTTGTAAACTTGTTAAAAAAAAAAACCATATCAGTCAGTAGTGATCTTTATCACACTAATCAAGCATTAAAAACCAAATCTCTGTTTACTTGGAAAAAAAGATTTTATTATAAACATTTATCATGTGGAAAAGGTATAAATAAATTATTTCAAAAAAAAAAAAAAATTCTTTGGGAAAGAATTTTTGTTTTCGTTGGGTGATAAGTTTCAAAAAAAAAAAATATATAGTTTTCGTCTTGTGTGTAACCATAATGGTAACCTTGAAAAATTTATATATATATAACATTAAAGACTTTTAAAGGTAAAAATTTTTTATATCCAATGAAGAATGAGTAAAATCGATCCACAATCATTTTTCCCCATCAACAACGGTGACATTTTTCACTTTTCTATATGTTTTTTACCCTTGGTTTTGCTTGGAACCTCAATTAAAAGTTGCCGGAATCCTGCAAACTTATTTCCGTTCCTCTCATGATTGAGCTCCAGCAAAGCAGAAAAGTTTGAAATTTGTAAAACCTCGGATTTCTAGAGGCTTTTTAGAAAAATCTGCGAATGATTATTGCTTATAAAAACTAAACAAAAAAGAACAACGTAAGTAGTACCAATTTCTTGCGCTAAATAAATTAATTCGTGATCCATGACAGAAGTGCATACTGCGCCATACTTTCTGAAATCCAGGGTTGCTAAGTAGCAAAGTCAAAAACTTGTAAAGAAAACAATAATAAAAAATTGTCAAAATAATAGTTGAGATTTTTTGCATCATATTATTTAATATTCTGTGTAATATTTATCATGTGTGCTGGTAGAAAAAGTTCGGAAGTTGGTCAATTGTAACCATTTGATAGTGATGATCCCCCACAATTTACTAATTAATTTTCAGAATTTTATCTACTTCTATCACGTATCACTAATTAAAGTAAAAAGAAAATTATGATATAACTTCCATGAAGAATAGGTATATAGAACAAATAGTATATATGGGGCATGCTGCAATAAAACCAGACAAAGTGAACATTAGTACTACCAAAAGTTTCAGGGATTGTAAATGTGATCAAATTGGTTTGATGATTTCAAAGATCAAAATTATTTCAATTTTGATGAAAGCAATACAATTTGGTATAATAACAGCAATAACAATATGATTTATCTTATATTATATTTCTATTTTTTTTTTTAAAAAAAAAAGAATAAATGATATAATTTTCTTATTGATAGTTACCAGCAATAAGTAATCATTATTGTTTTCAATTAAAAATTTTAGTTATACTCCCACCATGAGATAGATGGTGCCACGGAAGTTGATTTGGAATCATTTGAATCATTTATATAATCACCAGAACAAATTTTGCGCATGATGTAATATCTCCAGTAAAGTTCTTTGTAAGGATGATTCATTGAAGATGGAAGTATGTGTAACAGGGTTGGTCCATTGATGGTCTATTGGTGGTCCATTGGGTCCATTAGTGTAACACTTTAACCATATTTAGTATTTTATTAAT